TAGAAATATTCAACTCAGGCGGGGAGAAAACTTCAGAAGAGATAATATGTTACTAAACCTGGATTTCCTGCTAGGCCATTTGAGATCAAATGTGAGCTCTCATCTTAGAGACCTTACACTTGAGCAATGGTGTCACTCCCACAAAACACTGACCCCCAAGTGCTTCACTTGGGGCAGGCACTCAGGAAGTAGTGCCCTGGTCCCATCTGATGCCAGGCCTGTAAGGGCAACAAAAGCACCTGACACCTTGCTGTAACACTAGGCTGCTAGGAAAAGCAAAACCTCAACCCCAAGGCCAGGCAAGCAGTCTGGGCAGACACTACAAAGCTATATGGCAACTCTTCCTTACAGATCTTTTAGTCTTCCATCTATTTTCTCTTCAACAAAAAGAGTCTATGAAACATGTGCCAATAATTCTCCCACAGACAACCCAGCAGAAAGGATCTCTATGCAGTCTGAAATGCATCTCCTGCATGCCAATTCAAGGCAGGCTGCTTTTGCCTTTAATCTTTTCCCCCATGAATAAGTAACGCCTAATGAAAATGCTCTTCCCCTGGCAGTATTAGTATCCTGATACCTAGCTGCTGCTCGTACAACAGTCCCATGTTCAGATCACAGTGCCAAGGACAGGCAGGAGACATGTGGAAGCAGACATCTGGATTACCACCCAAATTCTTCATTGCTCCCCAATAAAGGGCCATAGAAGTTAATAACAGGCAAAGCTCTCTGACCCTGCAGCCTTTGTGAAGCTGCCTAGAGGTATCTACAACTCTCAAAGCCAAAAAAGCCCTCATATAACTAGGGGATTCAATTGTTTATGCTTTGATACATAAGTGCCCATATTCTTACTTGTTCATAAGAAAATAGCAAATCATTTAGTCAGAGTAACACATCAGAGTACAGCTCATCACTTAAAAGGAGCGTCTTCCATACTCATTCCTGAGTTAGCCGTTGCCTGACAATTTTCCTTTGCAACAGTTGCTAAGCAAAACATTTGCAATTCAGCTTACTATCACAGCTGATACATGGCGATTGCGGATACACTGTAAAATTCACGGCTGCTTAGTCTTGTTCATCTTATGGCACACCTTAGCTTCTTTTCAGATCTCTGACGGTCAGGATTTTATTCTTTACCCACGTAACACCTAAATTATCAGTACTGCAATGTATGCACGGACACATACAGTAGGTATAATAAAAGTAGCAGGTCCTGCGTCATACTATGTTGGGGAAAAAAAAAACACTTGACAAGGAATAGATGAGCCAAGTGGCAGTACACACAGTTTCTGTGTAATCTATAAGTCATCACTGTCACGATGTTTGTCATCTGCTTTCTTCACTAGGGAATCATCTGAGTGAGGCAAAGTGCATGCGGGAAGGTGGCATTCAGATGAGAGATAACAGTGTTAGTTACCACGTGGAAGCCAAATGACACCGTGGAACAAAAAAGCCAAGGTACATTGCTTGTTTCAGAAAAACTAAAAACTCACCCCAGAGCTAAACATCATCCCACAGATCAGGCAATGGTGACTATAAATAGCTATCTTACTAGTACTGTAAGATACCCACCATGAGTTTGTCAAATAGAAGATTTAAGGATTACTTCTACACGTCCAAGTGGCTTTCTGTTTCTCCTGCATTAATCCAGTTCAGAGCAGGACCAACATGGAAAAGTTCATTTAAGACAGCCATAAGTATTAAAAATTGCAACAATTACAGTCTAAGAAGCAGTACCCTCAGCTGGCAGTCACACCTAGCACTTGATGCAGTGGGAACCCAGAAGTCACCTACTGGCCAAATGTACATGTGACAACTATACAAACCCTGTGGCCATAAGGCACAGACCCATTTCCCAAACCAGTCACTGTCATGCCTGAACAATCTCAGACATTCATCCCAGAAGACCAGTGTTCCTGCCAGAAATCCCCAGAACATCTTTTGAAAGAGATCAGGTTATTATGGAATAAGTTAATTCCTGGCAAAGGCTCGCTGGCTTCAAGCTTGCAGCAAAGATGAACACAGCCCAGTCCAATCTTTGTTCCTAAAAACATCCATTTTCTGCTCTCCCCATAGCTTCCTCTGAAGGCTGCTGGAGGAACAGGTCTCCGTGAGGGGGCTTATGGCAGAATGCGCAGCTTCACAGGAATACCAGCATGAAACACATTGTTTCGGGGTCTCTGGTTAAGTGCTAATCTTCTTCCGGATTTGGATGCCAGCCCTGATTATGAAAAGTATGCAGAAAACACAACCTCGCCATGTGATAGGAGCGCTTAACCCTCTTCCTGCTGGCACCTGCACTTCAGCACAAAGTTGCAGTGGGAACAGCAAAACCTCATTTCCACAGGCTGGCTGGTCTTTTGTCTTCAACTCAGTGCTTGCTGCCATCTCCTTTGGAAAGCCATGCTCATGCAACGGAAGGCTGCGAAGGATGAATGAGATTTCCACCAAAACCAGTCCCCTGGAAGCCAGTTTTGCACGGTGTCTGTCCCATTCTACCCAAGCACATGACTGGGCAGCAGCCACAACCACGTCAAAGAACAACGTGGGTTTATGTGCAGCTTCACAGCAGGAGGTTCAAGCTGATCTTGTCTGTGGGCCAGGAAGAAATAATCCCATCCCAGCACACTGAACAGCCAGGGGGTGGGCTTGAAGTGCAAGGGCGCACTTGTCCTAGCCCTTTCTTTGCTGAGCAATCAAGTAACTGTCACATGTTGCAGCAGGGACCAGCCACTGCCCAGAGCCTCATGTCCACTGCAGGAGCATCTGGCAGAAGGCACACCGTGTCTGGCTTCAGCTGCTGCAGGAGGGTCCCACTCACCTCCCTGTAGCCAGCCCTGCTGCATCCTCCCAGAAGCTCTAAAGCAGAAGGAGCCAACCTAGGGCACAGCCCTTTGCTCCCAAACTTCCTACAGCACCCTTGCCACTCTTTGAAGATGGAGATCAGACTACCGGGACTTGCTCACGCAAGAAGCCTAGAATCCTAACGAGCAGCATGGCAAATTCTCCGGGCTTTGAGCTTTCACACTTGGCAAGGAAGCTTTGCTGCCTCAAAGCTTCATCAACTGTGTGAAGTGCATAGCTCAGACATGCTCTGTGGGGCCTAGAGGAGGCACTTAATGTTCCTACAGAGGCGGCAAAAGCATCTTCTCTCCTAGATCAGCATCTGGTCTAAAGTATTTCTTAGATCAGCTATTAAGCACTCATTTCCAGAAAGAGGAATACTGCATTGCACCTAAAAGTGAGACAGACACCAAACCCCAGTTCAGGACCAATGCTTGGGGAACCAGGTAATGTGCTGGTCAGAACACAGATCCACTGATACTTCCACAGCAAAATCAGTTTAAAATGGCATGGCTACAGGTGGCTTTAGTCCGCATTCCTACCTTGGGAGAGCTGGTGGATGGTTTACTCTTTTCGCATGCAGACTAGAACTATCACCTGGAGCTGTAAAAATTCAAGGAATTTGGGCAGGGCTTAAAGAGTGAGAATGTGCTGCTTTGCCTTCCAACATAATAAGAGCTATTCAGAAGCTTCTGTATTTGCTCCAGCTCCAAATTCCACATGGCTGAGGAACTGGTTTCATGGTTGGCCTCAGCAATTTGCATCCAGCTGATAACAGCTGACATAGGTAAGAACACTCGGGGTGGACTGAAAATTGTGAAACTGAACCTGGAGTGAGTCCTGCCTTGAGCAAGTTTTGAGAGCACTCAATATTTGCATATGCAGAAGTTAAATAAATGAGGTGTGAACTGTTAAGATTTTGTCAAGTCTTTGGAATCATCAAGGACTGTCAGCTTGAAGATACCTCACCTCACCTCCTGACTATCTAGAACACTCTTTACAGACTGCAGTTACTGTTCCTATTGGAAGGGTAGCTGTTGTTGCAGTGCACTCCAGTTTCATGACAAATAAGCACCCTTAGAAAATCTTGTTAAGGATTCACATGAGAAGAAGTCATAGGAGAATGTGACTTCCCAGTCCATCATATGGAAAGGCCAGAAGGGAACACAAGCAGAACTATGCTTTGTCAGTACCTCGTGCTTTGCTCTAGTGTCCAGATAGCCTGCACATCCACAGAGGCACACTTGTCCAAAGGACAGCTCTTAGAACATGCTGTACCCAGTCCTTGCTCATTCCTGGAGAGCTGTTTCTTTAGATAGGACACATAGACAGAATCCACATCCCACACTCCCCTGCTCTGCTCAGAACCAGAGCAGGACTCACCTAGTGCGGGACTGCCAGAGCTCACTTCTCTTAAGAATTCAAATTAAACTCTGAAGAAAAATGAAACCCTTAAGTTACTCTCTACATGAAGGAGATGAAGATAACTATAAAAAACTTCATAACAAAAACAGTTTCAAAAGTGCCTTCCAATACCATATAATTTTGTTAATGTATCAGACCATGAAAGTCAGCAACCTACCTAAGCAGAACAACAATCTTCAACCTAAAGCATTAAGTGTCCCTCAGTAAAATGTCAGGTTATCCTTCCCCGCTCCTGTTAATCAAGGTGGGGCAATAAAAGAGAGAGAACAGAGGAGGAGAGAGTATTTGGGACTGAGAAATATAGGAAGAAAAAGAGGTATGAAAGAATACCACCTGAGGCTTTCAACTCAATGCAAAATTTAATAAAAAACTGTATGCCTCTGTGCATTCAATGTATGCTCTATGGCTGTATCACACCAGCAACTTGCTACAGCACACTACTGTACAACTTAGTTAGAAGAGTATGGAGAGAGGCACATCTCCACTTGCAATTTTGGAGTGACACGCCAAAAGCAGACAGCTGGAGCCAAAGACAACAAGTATGGAAGTGCAACTCTCAAGTGGTCTATTACTAAATCTCCCTCTGTAGAGAAGTGGGAAGCGCTCAAGCAGGGCATGATAGGGTTCAAGGCAGCACCTAAACCAGACAGAAAATCAAATGCATGGTGCTAGAACAGAAGAAGGAATTTAGAATATTTTTTCATTTGAGTGAAGAGAGTTGTTGTAAGCAAGTATCACAGAGAAGCAGTTTTTATTTGCCATTACTGATACAAGTGGCTTTAGGAAAACATTTAAAATCCATTCTTATCTTGTCAGCTCTCGCAGCCTTGCAATGTCTGGGAGCCACACTCAGTGATTAGAGATCTGCAGTGCAAGGTACAGGAAGGCAAAGAAACAGCCCTTTCCTCAGATACCTTACAGGCTACCAGCAAGCACAGCAATTGATGGGAAGAAGACGCAGACAGAGGCAGGAGTACAAAGAGGCAGACTGCTGCTCAGGCCAGCAGCCAGCAACCATGGTACAGCCTGGGGTCCATCCCACAGGTCTTCCTGAGCACATGGCAACAAACACAAGATCAGTATTCCACAACGCAGTGACAACAGCAGACTCCTGGGGCAGTGAGGCATGTACACAGACAGCAGCACCAGAGGTTGACAGCATGCACAAGACCTAGAAGAGTGACAACACCTCTGTCTTTGTCACCTGAAACTCAGGAAGAAAACTCTCTAACTCCAGTGTAACCTATGTCACCCTCCCAATCTAAATCCATGGCACACAGCATGAACTCACAGAGGTCTTTTCTCAGTTCTTTTCAGCTGCTTGGAGCCAGGATGCAGACTGAGATCTCGTTGCACCTCAACTCTCCAGCACCAGGCAGGAACAAAGCCCAGAAAAGCAGCAAGGTGATGGCTGAAGAGCAAAAATGAAAACTACAACATGATTTTTTTGTTGTTGTTTGCATTTTAACACCGCCTTCACAATGAACAGACTCTCCATTTTTCTGACTTTATCTCAGGCCAAATACTACAAATGAATCCCCTGCTCACTTGCTGAGCTCAGTGAACCTGTTGGCTGATGGCTGGCAGCTGGGTAAGTAGGTATTTTACTTTGCCTTGGAGGAGGCATTGAGCCTGCTGCAAGGTTGGTTTATTACATGGTAAAAAACAAAAAAAAACAAAAAAAAACACCTAGCATTAAGTTCTGCTTATTACACCTTCCCCACTGCCAGCAGCCTCACACTCTTTGGCAGGACAGGTAATGGGAAGGCTCTTGGCTGACAGAGAAGCAGCAGATCACCACGTGCCAGCCGCAGCCACTGTGCAAAGCTGAGATTCCTCTCACATGAAAGAAGTAAGCCTCATGCCTCCCTGTGCTGCTTTAGGCAGATCAAGGAGCCAAGCAGTTGGTGCTAAGCAAGGACCCAGTAAGTCAAAAAGCCTCAAAGCATTCCCAGCTTCAGCCAAAGCAACCTTGAGGACTTGCTAGTTCACCTGCATGGGGTCCTGAGCTCCCACCAGCTGCAAGAAACCCAATAGCACCAAGTTCATGCCGGCACTCCCCCACCCCTTCCCAGACCTTCAGTGGTCACTGCCTTTTACAGCACAGCAGGTAAAAGTGGTTCCAAGCTCTGCAAGCTGCAGAAGGTATTAGGCTTCAAGTGTTTTACTTACTGTAAGCAGTTCACTAATTACATTAGTAATGATTGGATTACAGACAGTTAACAGCTTTAAAGAAACAAGACATTATAGGAGGAGAAGGGAAATATTGCTCAGGGTCTGGGCTGAAAGCTTCCATCAGATTTCAGCAATCCACCCATGCTTTAGGAGCTGGCTGGGTCAGGCTATTTGCAACAGGCTCCAACAGCAAGGCATGGTGTAACATGTCACTAAATGACAGGCTGGTGCACTAAAATTATTAGTGTTGCAGGAGGTGTGCTCACAGGAACAGACAGTCCCCTGCTCATTCGCTGCCTCCACCAGCTTCAATGCCTCCAAGTGAGCAGGCCCAGAAGCCTGCAGACAGGCGTGCGCATGCTGCTCTGCTGAGACAGTACCATGCCTATGATGCTATGTTTCAGCATGCAGCACTGTGACTACAGGCACTTTAGATACTCTTTAGTAGAGGCCCAATAGCTTCAACCAAGCAGCCAGATGCAAAAATCCACAGTATCAGGAGCCAGAAGCATTCATCAGAAACAGCAGCTAGAAATCTCCTTTCCCTAGCAATTTTTGCCAGTGCTGGAAGAACAACATTAATTCCTTCATCTCTTCAGTTCCTAAAAGTTCACACAAGGTACGTGTGGGCCTTGCCCAATGAGAGCCAACCCCTTCTGTCCTCACCACTGTTCTCCCCTCTGTACCCAGCCCAGGCAGAGCAGACCCTTGTTCCACCCACAGCCACCTCCAACGCTGCCACCTACCCCGAGTGCCTCCCCAGCACCCCTCCCCTGCCTATTGCTTGGTCTCCTCCTCCTCCTTCCTGCTGAGATCTTTGGCTGAGTGCTGGCAGAAACTTGGTTTGGTGTTGCTGGCTGGAGGGTGAGGATTTCTGGCAAGAACAAACAGCAGAGCTGGGCATCCTGCCCAGGGTGAGTTCACACTTGGCTCCCCACAGCTGGAAATAGTCTCATCCCTGGCCAGCATTCCCCAATGGCCCAACAAAGCCCAAGGAAACAGCAGGTTTCCATGCACTGGCCATTTGGTGGCAAGTTGGTGAGTGTTGATGAACATAACCCCTGCGCTGCCTGCACCCAGCCGTCTCCATGCAGAGCAGCCACGTGTGGCTGTTAGAGGGCACACGGTGAACAGGCACACCGCTGCCTGTGAGGTGGTGTAAGGCTATGTGCAACCAAGAGTGATGCTTCCTGTACAGATGCTCTTTCTTCCACAAGCAGAATCAGAGGGAAGGCGAGGGCTCGAACAAGTGTGCTCCTGCACCCTTCTGCCCACTGCACTCCTGCAGCAGGGCTGCCACACTCTCCTCCTTCCTCAGAGATCTCATCTCCCAGAGCAGATAAAACATGTAGAAAACTCACCTGGAAGCATGAACACATTTAAAGAGCTGCAAATGCTTTTGGCTGCAATCAAAATTTTCCTACGGAAATTAAGTATTTTCCTGTGATAAAACCTGGCACAGCCATGGTCTAAGCAGCTATAAACAAAGTGCCTTTTCTTTTACATTGTGCAGTTGAGAAATACACTTATTTGCTTTTTTGTGAACTCAGGTTTTTTTGTTTTGTTTTGCTGGGTTTTTTTTGGAAGTTTTTTTCGAGTTTTCTTGGAGACATGTAACAAGCAGATTTAATGAGGGCTATGTTAAAATACCCAAAGGGGATGGCAGGTAAGCATGCCATGCAGCAGAAGAAACTGCTACTACAGAACGCAGGAGCCCAGCCAGGGATCTCAGCCCTGGGCAGGCTCATCACTTTCCATGATGAAGGAAAGTGCTCTGCTGGGTGCAGACACCATACATGGATCTCTCTCTGCCTCATCTCTTGGAGGCCTTTACAGGCGAGCTCCTGGAGCAAGGATGTAACAGCACAACTTCCATTTACAGCAGCAGCAAGTTACTGCTCGGCAGCATACACTGCAGGGAGCAGCCACAAGTGCCCTGACTGCCTGATGCAAAGACCATGGAAAACCAGAGTCCTTCCTCAGCTTCCAACTGTCCATGGATCAGCACCTCTGTAGGATGGGAGGGAGAGTTGTCCTCAGAGTTGGAAACCGAAGCATGAATTTTCTGTGAGAAAACTCTCCAGCACAGCAGCAATCCAGCATTCGGTTCATGAAAGGAGTGGAACAAACAGCCCATCCACAGTATGCTGTTTGGCACAGAGATGAAAGATTTTGCAAGAGTCCCCTTAAAAATGAGGGCCAAGCATGGGACGTGCAAGCAGAGCCTGTTTGTGCCAACCTGAAAGACAGCAGTGACTCTCAGAGCCAGGCCTTTCTGCTCAACAACCGCCCACCATCAGCTAGGAGGGCTTAGATTACATTTCCAGGCCAACTTCTTTCCCTGTTTTGAGTCCCTCCTCACCCAGCAGCACCACTCAGCTATGAGATGGCTGTATAGTAAAACCAACAGCTAAAGCACCAGCTAGCTGGTACAATTCATCCTGCCTTCTCACTGACCGCACAGGCCATCCAGGAGGACAGGGAACAAGTTGTTGAAGTTTCCCCTGCAGCACCATCTGCCTACAAATTATCCACATTGTCACGCTCCCATAAGACTGCCCAGAAGTGCTAGATCTCACGCATTCAAAGGTTGACTTGAAATCACTCCCACATGAACAACAGGAGACATAGGAAGACTTGTGTCAGTCCACTGCAGTGAGTGTACATAGGCAAGGCATGGCCTTTTCACCCGCCAGCACATCCCACTCACAGCAGAATTTCAAATCCAGTGCAATGGAAAGGCCACACCACAGGGATGAACTCATTTCCAGGAGGCTTTCAGTCCACGTAGATAGAACAACAATGAGCCATCCGAATGAGAGACCAAAATCCTTACTGTTTAATCATGCATAACCCGGTCCTGTCATTGGAAGCTGTTTCAGTGTACTGACAGCAAAGGAAGTCTCTGCACAGCCTTGATCATGCTGTTGTGCTTCCAAAACAGCAATACATACAGAAGAGAGAACAACTGCAGGTGAAAGTATCAGTCAGCTGCAACACTGGCACAAGGGCTGCCTTACAAAGACCTGACATAGGCCTTACCAGTGGAATGCACTCATCGCCAGTTGAGTAGGAAGGACACAACAAATGGAAACTGAAGTAGGAACAAAATGGTTCTGCTTTACTGTCCGATAGGGTGCTAAGAGGCTAAACTGGCACCAGGCCATACCACAAACATCCTATCGGCCAAGTTCTTGCTCTGATGCACTGAGGAATGACAGCAGGGAAGATGACAGCAGAGAACAGGAAACTAGCTCATATAGTAATCATATTAATGCCACTGGGTTCACTCACTTTAGTATTTTGGGGGGTTGGCCCACAAATTCCTCAGTTGCACCTCAAGAATCTGGGTGACTGTTCAGAACCAGGCAACTGATGTACAGTACAGGAGAGGTCAAAATGCAGCGGTGGACAGTCCTGCAGATGTAGGTAACACAGACTGTGTGATATGACGTGTGCCACACTGAAGGTCCTGCTGCTGACAAAACTATCTCATACTCTGCACCAATTCACCCAACAAATCCAAGTTCTGTTAACGTTCTTCAGCCCCAGTATCCCAGAAACAAGCAAATTTTAGGCTCAAAGTCACCTCTTCTTAGGGGTGTTTCTTGTTAAGATCACAGTTTTTCCACTGAGCAGCTGCCAAGCACACTACTTCCCCCTTTACAGAAATCAGCTACAATTTTGAGAGAGGGAAGGTCTTTACATTGCAGTACAGGATTTGTAGAAGTCATGCTAAGCATATTCTTTACGGTAATCATCACATTTCTAATAGCCACATGTGGCAAGAAATCAGCTTTTTTAATACAAAAAGGTAGAGTAAATTCTGTTACACTCTATTTCACATCCTCCCTCTCTGACACCACTGCTTGGACTGTACTAAATGCCACTAGAAATCACAGCAATATATCCAACAAGCCCTGGGTTGAACACATTATAAGTCCACTCCACTCTATTTGCTGTAATTTAGCAGCTCCCCAGGGTTTCCCCAGACAGAGTTCCAGTGCCTTTTCCACAGCATCTGCTTTTCACGCCTTACCATGAGCAGGAGCATAGCCATCCCCTGCTATGAACTGTGCCCCAGGGAACGGCTGTGGTGTCAGAGACAGCAGTGATAATGCACAGGCAGCTGGAAGCACTTTCAGTCATCCTCCTTTGCACCTCATGCTAAGTTTCACTTTCTCTGTCACCTCTATTTGTGCCAGCGTTAAGAACTCTAGTCCAATGTCTTAAGT